CTGGGACCATTCCAGGCCAGGCTGGCCGGGGCTGTGAGCAACCTGATGTGGTTCAAGGTGTCCCTGCTCCTGCAGGGGGGTTGGGCTGGGTGACCTCTGGGGGTCCCTTCCCACCCAAAACATTCCATGATTCTATGACCTCCTCAAGTTGTTCTACACAGAAACACACGATGTGGCTCAGGCTTCCTCATGCTGGTCTGGCACGCCCTGGCTTTAGACACAACCACCAAGCGTCCAAACCCCGGTGTGGGCTGGCTGAAGTTATCAGGGTGAAGCCAACGTCAGCCGAGTGTCTGAGGTTTTGCAGCTGTGAGTTAGAAGGGACATTTTGCCATAAAAATGGGATGATTTTTGCCTGGCTAAGAGCAAGATGACGATGAAGAAAGGGTGGAAGCTCTGAAAATGAGCTCGCAAGATCCTGTAGCCATTCTCTTCTGATACGAACGGCTACACGTGGTAGTCCCGATCCCTGGGAGTATTTAACAGCCCGGGCAGACGATTTGCTTAGGGACAGGGTTTGGGGGTGGACAGGTGCAGTTGGACTCAATGATCTTAAAGGTCTGTTCCAACCCAACGATTCTATGATCTCGGTTAACTGTTGGCTCCTGACCACAGCCAGAGGAGCGTGTCTGGGTCTTGTACCAGCAGCGGAAACACGTTGTATTGTTGAACAAACTTCGGGAACGGAAACAGGAATGACCAAACGTGGCAGAAAACCTGCAGAGTAGCGAGTGACTGGCGGACCTTGGCCTTCCACTGCAAACGGGAGGTGAACGAATGCCGATGAGCAAGGGAGGGAACTCCGGGAACGGGACTCTGGTATTTGTCATCCAATAACCAAGGCGAAAATAGATAAAACCAGACCAGGTCTGTGCTCTTCCATGAAAGGAAGTATTTGGACAACGCCTGGGAGACGGTGGCCGATTTCTTCGCCGCTGAAAAAGCGAGTTCAAGATTTCAGCCACAGCTTCTGGAGTTGAAGCCGGAACGAAGGCATGCGAGTGCTGTGGCTTGCACTTTACAGACCAGATGGGATCACGGAATCCAGGAATTGTTTAGGTTGGGACAGCCCTTTGGGATCACCAAGCCGTTCCCCTAATCCTACCACCCCACCACCAAACCC